AGATACTCCGTATCCTGTGCTGGATGCTGCAGCTTCATTCGGCAGCGGTCGTGAAGGGTTTGTGAGATAAGGGCTAGTACGGGACATTGCGGGATCATCGGCGTGCATTGAAATAAATGAGGACCCCCCCCAGCTGCCCCCCATTTCGCCGGATCCGACCGAGATAATGCTCGGAGCATGGCTCGATCGAGACTGCCCTCTCCTTCAGCCTGAGCTACAGGCTATGGCATCTGGAAAAGCAAGATATCAGGAGAACGACGCTGTGGGTTCTTCATCGACTGCTTGCTGCAGGTGTGGGGGTTGTGGTTGATCTGGGTTTCGCTGTTCCTCGTCTTTGACCAACCTTGGATCGACCTGTCCCGCAACCAAGATGCAGATAAGCGCAGCAGCTCACCCATACTGCGATGGCTAGGCCCGAGGCTGGCGCGACTGGTTCCTGCTTCAGCGTACCTACTTCGTACACCAACGGCGTTAGACGGGAGCCAGTGCGAATCCTTTGTTCCTAGCCCTCCATCCCGGCCGCAACTCGATCGAACTCTATTGCTTCCCTCATCTCAGCCAAGTCCGAGGCTCCCGCCTTCAGAGATTTAAAGTTATATGTGGCAGATTTGGCAGAATCTCGTCTTCGTCGTTACGGACGCCGACAAATCCGATGCTCTCTCATGTTCGCTCTCCCCGAACGAGCTTGACGCATATGCCGCGTCTCGTTAGGCAGTAGAAAGGACTTGTTCGACAGCCGACTTGTAAATCCGGGCGAAGGGGCTATTCCCGGACGAGCGAGAATTCTCGCCTTTCACGTATCTGTTCGCTCGCTCTGGGTCGAGTTGACTTGGCGCTTGTATGCGTCCCACTCGTGGGCGAAGCAGCACTATCTCGTGCGGGCGCAAAGCCCACGTAGCCCACGCCACACGCGTACTGATAACTTGAGGGCTCGCCTTTATCCTCAGAATCCCACACCAGATCGCTATGAGCGTCGGAGCACGCAAGGTTGGTTGCATCCAACCCCACAACTTCCCGGACATGAGTGGGTTGGTGGTTGGAGAGAGACCCAGGAACCTGATGCAGAAATCAGCGGGCGGCGGATTAAATGATCATCCTGACGATGTCTCTGAGAAGTGTGCCAGTTCCTGGAAGAAGGGTCTCGGCGAGGTCGGAGCAGGCTGCATGATTGGCTGTGTGCATAAAGAGATGGCTTATCTGAAGGGTGCCACTACGTTGAAACCAAGCTAATAGAAGTCATGGGGTTCTTGTCTCTCTGCTATTACCAGAGACATCAATTTCGTGATCGCAATGGCCGTTGCTATTTGGATCAGCGCTTTAATCAGATACCCGCGGCAGCCTTGTCAAAAGAGCGGCCGGCACTCGAAGGACGATCACGGCGACAATCGCAAAGATGGCGGGATGGATCGTCTTGTACGTCGGCCTTGATTGGCTTTCGGCGTTGAAGGTTGTGGTAAACGACCCAAAGCTTCACCTCTCCCACTGGCTTGTTAGGTAATCGTAGATCCAGTCGCTCCGCAATGGAAGCCTCGTGAGTTTCCCAAGGTGGTTGCTTCGACAGCCGCAGGCGCTCCTACACTAAGACGTCAGTCCCCCCAAAGTGACGAAGGCGACGAACTCTTCTGATCCATAGGGGATCCAGCTCCAGGGTCAGGTCCTGCAACAATCCGTGATGCAGAAGCTGCATGAAGGGCCGCAGAATGCATGTTTGGGCGAAGGCGTCAGTACGGGTGGTCAGGTGGGCAACCTGGACGGCCTACTATGCCATCGGTCGACTCGGGAGGTAGGTATGGTGTTAGTGTGGGGAGGCATGTTGTGACGCTGATTTGTTCAACGTTGTGAGTCTGTTTCTCCTCCCCCGCCTCAAAACGTATGCGGGTGGTGGCCGAACCGGTTTAGCCGCTCTTGGCCCGCAGCAAATTCCAACTGCATGGATGGACGACCACTAAGGGCCTCAACGGAGATATCAACGACGAATAGCGGCTGCAGACGATAGGAGCCTGAAAGAGATATTTTGATGTGACGAACTTTCTCCTTATGTCACCATTCTTGAGTCTCCATGGGTCCGTCATCACGGATAGTGTCATAGTGCACCCAGCAGAATCGTGACACTGCAGCCTCCAGACGTGTGTCTGCGAGACTACTCCTGCTGTGCCGTTGGCCTAGGGTGGGGACATCGGGGTGTTGAAGCACAAGATCTCCGATATCCTTGACGGGCTGGCTCCATAGTTATTGCTTGAGGAAGAGGAGTGCATCATGGGGGCGTACTCGGACTTTTGCAAGAGATTGGAATTGCTCCCAAGCTGCACTAGTTCTAGTTCCTAGGCCCGCATGAGCTAGGAAGACAGCATGTTTCGCAGTGTCTGTAACGTAGACGAATGGGCCAGGAAAACAGACGATGATGACAGTGGGCAGACCAGCCGATCGAGGGTGACATAGCTTCGGGGTGTTGTGATGCCACAGTATTAATTCGTATTCCAAGGGAGTTTGAGCGAGACTCCATGGACGGACTTGCAGTCGTCCGTCGCGAATTAACCTTTAATTGCCATGCCAGGTTGACCTGGGTTTAGGCGGTCATAAGGATTGTGTCGAAACTCTCGAAACCAGGACACAGCCTTCTTGACGAAGACAGCCGACGACGGGAATCTCGCAATGCTTCTAGGACACGACGAAATCTCAATTGCGTGCTGGGATGGACAGATAACGATGGTCAACCCCAGGTTTTTGCTCTGACGCCACCCCACGACAGGATGGTGTTGATATTGGCGTTGGATCTGCACAATTTGGCTGGCAGCCAATGAGGAGACCGACGGCTTTCACCTGGTCTCTGACCCTCCCCCTACCCTCGCGGCCTCGTCCACCTCCTGCAGCAGGGTCGATCAGTTGCCGTTGTAGTTACGTGGTTGTGGTGGGCTAGAAGAGGGGAGTCGTCTTGAGACAGAAGCGGCGACACGAAAAGAGGCCGCTGCAGAAGCAGAGACACACGAAAACGTCAAGGTGCTTGGTTGGTTGGTTGCACCAGCATCCATCAGTTGTCTGAATTTTGAAGGGACCAGTCGTGCCAGGAAGAGTACCAGTGTTGAGTTTGCCTTCTCCGCTGGCTACCGCCATCGTAGTATTCAATGGCAGTCTGTCTTGGCCCGGCGTTTGTGGTGTTGCCGTCGCCGTTGGCCTCTCTTTACTGCCGCTCTGCTTGAGGAAAATTCTCCAGAGAGTCACAGAGTGAAGTGGGTCGTGGAGAAGGGGACGGCCGCTGTCGCTATTTTTGCGGATACCAACCCCCCACGCGGCTCCATGCCTCATATCATTCGACAAAGGACTGATTTGATTTCCCATGATATTGGGCTGATACCCGTTGTGTCCATGTGTTTTTGGAGAACACCATAATACCAGCGACGACGAGAATTGTGAGGAAGCTGATGGTGACGGACACGGGGGATGTAGGGATTCGAAGAATGTTGGGAACCGATAGGGAGATTGAGGTTGAAGAGTTTTTCCTTTCTTTCTTCGTCCATCTCCTTGCTCCGAGTCCGGGCTCACCCAGGCGAGGAGGGAACATGCGCGATCTAGACTGGTCCAGCCAGCTCCCGAGGCGTACTGCTTGTGTACAGTGGCGTTGAGCGGGATCGAGCTCTGGGGTGCTCAGCTTTGAGGCCGGGTTTGAAAGTAGTGGTTTAGTCGCAAACGCACTTCTGATTAATCACTCAGTTCAACATATTCTTCTCTCATGTCGTCCGAGGGCGGCCAGAATCCCATGCAGGGCACAGAGTACGAATACTAGCGATGCTGGTGCTCGTGGTGGTGTGCTGTTTTTGCTGCTGCTACCGATGTCTCTGGTGGCAGCAAGCAACACAGGAGGAAGAGAGACGACTGTGCAGCTCTGGATCTGACCAAACACATGACTGCTCCTTGAGAGAGGCCGGGGTTGAGCTACCTTATGCTAGCATCAATTGGGAGGGCGTGGGTGTCGATCATGGGTTTGACCTTGGGCAAGGAAAAGACGGAGAAAGTGGACCAGTTTCCTTGGGGATTGGGAGTTGGAAAAGCACCAGGGGCGTGAGGGAATGACCGGAGACGAGAACTTGGGCCAATGGCACCCGCATCCACTAGACCGAAACAATGCTAGCGCACACAAGACTCTTGGTATCCACCCAGCTCGTTCTCACTGGCTCAGAACGAGCAGCTTCGGTTCAGCGTCTGCAGCAGCCATCTGTACTTATGCCTGAGGTAGTCGTCAATTGCACAATCCGCTGCATCACTGTCATAAGCGGGCAGACCCGTGCCTGGCGATGCCGCAATACAAGCGAAAGAGGCACAGATATTGGCTGCCTTCTTCCTGCTGCCCACGCCATTTGCATCCACTCTGAGCTGCTGCCCACTCAGCTGGAGCACCTTGGACTGCGTTGGGTGCTGCCTTATGCAGCTCTCGGATGTCCACACGCCCCCTGGCGTCATCGTCGACAGTTGGCTCTCTCTGGCTGGCCTGTCTTGGGACCGTCGCATCCTCAGCAAGTTAGCAGATAACGCAAGAGCAGCAGCAGAACGGACAATACCAAGTATCTTTGCAGCCCAGTTTCACCTAGCAAGTACGAAGCGGTACTCCGTCCCACTGTTACCCCCGCTCTCTCTGCACTTCCCACTTCTTCACAAGTCTTTGCTGATGAATTATGTTTCTGCACCCCCTCTCTCTATCCAGCCACCCACACACCTCGCTCATGCCCTCAAACTCTGAGCAGTGAGCACAATTGTCGCCTTTGACGCAGAAAATTTTCAGAGGAAATCATCACACGCCCATGTCTGCTGGATGGTCCCCTGCTCCTTCTTTCCCTGCCCTCCCGAAGACGGGTACGTACACTTTTTTCTCCCCTGTCCCCTCCCCTAACAAATTTCTCTCTCTCTGTGACTCTGTAACTCTGTGACTCTCTCGTTCCCTTCCCCCCCAATTTGCCAGTCTCGTCCATCTCGCTCTCCCCTCCTCTCTCTCTACCACCCACCCACCACCCCTCTTTCCCTCACTCCTCACTCCCACCCTCCCCTCCACGCCCCTCTCTCTCTCCCACACACCCCCTTCTCTCCTTCAGTGGGCGCTATCTGCTGCAGGGCATGAGAACTGGAAGTGGGTCTTGGCTCAGCCCATCAGATTGCCAATGCCATCCTTGCTGTCTCTCTGCCTTCCATCTCCATCTTGCCATCTCCACCCCGGACCTGCACACTAGCGGCCACTCCCTGCCCTTGTGCTTGTGTGTGCATGTTTGTGTGGTGGGTAGGCGTCTTGTCACTCTCTTCATCCACTTCCAAGTATCTTCGCACCCACCCATCACAGCTTAGGTACTTGCTATGCACCATAGGCCTTGTCTTGGGCGTGCTCCTCCACTGGTGGGCAGGCTGTGCTTCGAGGATAGATACATATGAGCCGACCTCTTTCCACACCTCGATCCACCTCTCGTTCTCTCATCATTCGACTTCACTCATCTTCTCCTCCGGCATTTGTTCGTGGCTCACTCTCTTGCTTGTGGCTTCCAGTTCTGTTCATATATCGACTGCAATCCCGTCCAACTCTTTAACCATCTGCCACCACCCACACTCATCACCCACAACTTGCCTACGCACAAATACACCAAACACCACCTTCAGTTCACCACTTGAACACTAGTCGACTCGACTCGGTTCTGCCCAACACACAACACCAAACTCAAACAAATTCACAACATACATCCAGACGCAATGGCCGCCTTCGACCTCTGGACTCACGAGTTCTGCCTCGGCTGCGACAAGCAGACCGACGGTACTGCCTACTGCTCCGAATCCTGCCGCCTCGCCGACTTCGAGAAGACATCTACACCCAGCTCAGTTGCCAGCTCGCCCGGCTTGAACACCCCTTCTTACCCTTGGACTTCTTCAAGGCAACAGTCCAACAACTTTTACCTCTCGCCCGCCTACGACTTCACCAACGCTCAGCCCTACGGCAGCACTCCTTCCAGACAATCCTACCTCTCGTCTTCCAGGGCACCCATCACCACCCGCCGCACCCTGACCACTTCGAGCTCCAACTCCAGCCTATGCTCGATGCAAAGCACAACATCATCCAACACTGACGGCAGTCAGCTTTCAGAGAAGGCCAAGAGGGAGCTCCAAGCCTACGCCGTGTCTTTCGATCAAGCGAGACTCCAACGTCGACGATCTGCCTAAATCAAACACGACCACTTTATCTACACACTGTTCAATATACCCTTAGCCACAGCACAAGTGGCATCGTTTCCTTTTTCCAGCACAGCACGCAACTCAGTTTACTCGATACACCATCGGCACACCGACTCTTTTCTCTTTTCTTTGGGTTCGACTTTGTGTTGTAACAAAACGGGCATTACATCGGAGTACTGCATTATAAAAAAAAGTTTGGGTCAACTACGGGGAGTACTTGGCTTGGCAGGACACCTGCTTCAATCACGTCAGGGCGCAACAATGGGGAACACTGGGATTGTACCACGACATTGGGGGCTTGTAACCAAGGGTTGTTTACAAGCATGGCACTGAGAGATTGAGGATCTCGCCTTCGGCTTCACTACATCTCGCCACAGAATGGACGAGGCACGGTAGCCTATCACGAGAGCAGAAGGGCTCATATCACGACAAAGATTGGGTAAAGACCCTGGCACTGGACGAAGCCTCGAGGCAAAATGACCTCTGACGGCAGCTTGGACTGGTATAAACATTAGGCATTATCAAAGTGACGGATCAACTGGGTAGCGGAGGTTCCAGAGGAATGGACTAGCACCGCCAGATTGAGATGGACCAAAAAATAACAGACCAGTTCAAAGCTTGACAAGAATTCTTCCACTTGCTGCTACCTACATGTGTGACTCTGATGACTGCAATCAACGATGACTCTAACTATGTCCATGCCAGCATAATTCGCATCCACTTCTGGAGCCTTCGCGACAGAGCTGTGGGTCTGCGGGAAAAGTCGTCATAGTGCCGGAAAGTTCAGAATTCCCCCATTACGCTTTGGGAGCCCCTGGCCCAGGTGCAATGGAGTTTGGTCCGAAGGGAGCAAAAGTTGGTGAAATTTTTGGCCAGGATCCCACGCCAAGATTATTTTTGTTCGCTCGGAAGTTGCCAAACATACCACAGACTGGGAAGGGACGGTGAACGGGGGTCGGACACGGCGCACAATTCGGGAACACAACTAAGGTAACAATTAATGGAGAACATTGGCGCGTTGGGTAGGGTGGTTGGATAGTTGGTTGGCGGGCGGCTGATTGACGAATGCATTTTTCTTTTTTTTTCTTCCCTTTTTTTTTTTCTGCCATTGCAGACTTTTGACAACGGCTCAATTGCCCACGTTGACAACGTGCAGCCCAGGGCCCCATCCAAAAGGCCCAAGGATAGGCAGACAGGCAAGCCGCAAAAAGGACAGGAAATTGGAGACACAGGATACGGATTGCCGTACACGTGTTTCCCATGGCTTACCATTTTCTTGAGTTTTGACAGTGGAAGAGGCGAATGGCGAATCAGCGAGAAAGTGAGAGATGATGGAATTGGCAAATGCATGGTACGATTGGAAGAGGCAGTGCGTGCCATCAATGTCGGGTACCACGCATTGCACTTTCCCATGCCGCACTGTTTCGATGGGGATTTCTAAAGCCTTACGGGATACCTTGCTTTCCCGTCTGCCCAAGGTAAGGTAAGGTACCTTGTATTTCTTTTCTTGTCCACCCGTCGCCCTGTTCTTTTCTTCCTCCCCCGTGCCTCCTTCCTGCCTCATGGCGTAAGTATGTAAGTACCTTTGTACAGCTGCATTGAGGCCTCGGAGGGAAGGTATCTTCCAGGTTGAGGTCAAGCAGGTACCGAACATCAAGGTAGCGTAGCCATCTTAGTCATCGAGCAACTGCGAACGACGGGATGCCATATGTACCTATGTATCCGTATGTGCCTACCTTATGCCCATGGACGGCTTCAACGACACACGTCCAAAATATTACTCGCACCTGCGCAAGCACGCAAAACATAATAATGCATGGCTGCTGTCCCACTGGTGGAGGTCATCTCGATGGCGCACAGTTCGCAATCTCGCACCAAGATTGAGCAAGCGAGAAAGATGAGATGCTTTCAGCAAGTCACAGTCGCCACGACGTCTCTCTCATCTCTCGCACTCCGACCGGAGTGGCCCATGTCTCCGAGCACCGCAGCCGCAAACCCGCAGCCCAGGGCACCACCTCTCAGCAGCAGCTATGCCCGATGTCAAACCCCAAAAAGGGCGAATACGCACCTGGGCCCCTTGACAGGATGATTCCCCGCCAAACACACGCACACGCCTGCTCATTCACACACCACGGCGGCATCCATCGTCAATTTAGAAAAATTTTGTCCATTGCGGACAACAGGGGACCCGTAAACAACGACAATGCCGCCCACATGACCGCCATGACGTGAGCCGCGCGAGAAAACATGCCATCCTTCTGCCCCGTCGTCCTCTGACGCAGCTCGAGCCGAAATGGATTATGGAGGCGGCTTTCGAAGCCGAACCCTCTTTTCCCACTCAGATCCACGATCCACAAGAAAAGGGAGGGGACTCGGGAGGAGACGTATCTGACAGGAAGACCCCCGCCAAGTTGCGAGAGCCTCTTTTTCGTGTGCGATGGAATCTCGGTTGTAGCCGCAATCTGACCACGTCCAACAGACGACTACTACCCACCCCTCCGCGCGTGGTACGGTACAGGGCGCTTCGGATACGGACAGGAGAGTGAGAACAGCTACGAAGCTATCTTTTAGCCCAGGGGGGCGGCGAGCAAGAAGTGAAAGAAATGGCATTGTGGCACTGGGCAGCCTTTCAAATTAGCTGTTTGCTACCGCCGCTCAGACCAACGATGTGCACATCATCAACAACTGCTCCTCATCTCGGAGCTGGCTTGCTTATTGCCATGGCCTTCTCGGTCTCCATCAATCACGCCCCCGATATCCGGAGCCCTCAAGGAAAAAAAATTTCCAGAACCGAGGGGTCTGTCTGGCTTGAGGATTGGACTCAGTGAGCTGGACTGGACTGGATCTGGGCCCTGAGCCTGGACCGAATCCGTGGGGTGTCGAGGGCGGCCCGAACGCTAACCACGACACTCACTCCGTGACTCCTCAATCCGTTCAGTCGTGCATTTCCAGTCTTTCACTCAAAAGGCGACACCCACCAGCAGCCGTCGAGGCAGCCGCTATTGGCAAGCGCCGATATGAGAGAAAGGGCAAGGATGGGGATGGGACGTGAGAGTGCGGCCCAGCCCCATCCAAATTGCGACCAGCTCTAACATCCTTGAGCAAGGGTGTGGCGGCCCAGTGGAAGCGATAGTGCTATTATGGAACCCTCCAGCACACAGAGGCGCTCTGCTGAGGACAGCCTACAGGTGGGAGTCCGGAGACAGGACGGCTTGCTCAGGCGTCTCGCCAGCTGTAAGTGGCCAGGACAGGGCTTCAATTCGACATGGGAATTTCCAACAGACGAGGCGTCCGCCTCTCAGTGCTCGCCTGAAGGTGTGCTTTATCACTCAGAAAGGCCTGCGTCCTGCTTGCTGTAGAGTGCAGAGCAAGGAGCATCTTTGTTCAAGTCGATTCTGCACAACACCTCAGCTTCAGCCCCCAGACATTATTCAGGCAATCCGACCTGTCACTGCCTTAACCGACGCCTGCCAGCCGTTTCTGTCTCTTTGCAGAATGTGTGTGACGGAGAAGCTCTGTCAGCGCCGAGCCACTTACAGTTGCCTCAGTTCGCCTTCAGTTCGCCTCTGCCTGTTCACATTGGGTCGCCTTGACGAATTGGAATAGCCAAATCACCCGATAGGAAGATAATGCCTCATGATCATGACCCCCAAGAAGCAGGCTTGAGGGCCGCAAGTGTGCCTTTGCCTTTCGTCTGCAGCTTACGCCTTCCCTTCCGTCTCTGAAGCAGCAGTAATAATTTGCACAACAGCCAACTGGACGACGACTTCCACTTTGGACACGGTGCATTGTGACGGCGTTGGCAGCATTTGATATGACCAGTCTGTTATGCCTCCATCTTCCTCCCTCCGGGTTTGTTGGGGGAGTGGCTACAGAGACTCATTCCTTCAACGATCTTACAACTCGTCAAACCCGCCATCCTGCATTTTGACGCCCCTTTTCCCTGGCGGCCTGGCCCTCGCTTTACGGTACTTCAGGGTTGGGACAGAGATGAAAATTTTCACAGCATGGATCAACCTCTGAATCTTCTTTTCTCTCCGTCTCCCTTCGGAAAGGGCAACGGATCGATCGATCCATGGTCTCTGGTCTCTGTGCGCCCGGCCATGGTCTAGGTACTCAGGTTCTTGCTCGTTATGCCCGCCCTGTGCCCTAGTTGCCTTTACTACCCGTTCTGTTTTACATTGAACGGTGAGTCGTTCCGGAGACATGTATCAAGAGACAATAACAACAAACAGAACAAAACAAGGTTTGACTTCGTTGTACGCTGAGTGGTCTTCGTCTAACCTCCCCGTGATACTTGGTTGTTCATATCCGAGGCGGGTTTCGTCGGCTCGCTTCAGTTGTGCTGCAATGCTTTAGTACCTCTGAGCGCCAACGGTATTCAAGAACAGCCCGGAAGTCTCCAGTCGAACCACCATTCAAAGCGGGTGTTGTGCCGTTGCACCGCCTGCATTTCAAGCCACCGCAGCGCTATCTGTTTTACACCTCAGACACATCCTTTTCTGCACAGCGACTATATGCACTTGAACACGTATCACGGTGATCGGCCTTCGCCAGTCGGGCGGTCTCTATTGAACAAACCCGATTTACCCGCTCTTGTATGAGCACTAGACATATTTTGCCGTCCAACCACACAAACAGGTGCTGCGGTAACAGTACTCTCTTGCAACGAGGCAGGGGCCGTCTTACCCGCATATCTCACAAGTGGTCGGTCATGTTATGTAAATTCTGATTGAACGAGAGGATGGAGGCTATTGTCTAGCACCAGACGAAAGATTCTGCTCTTTCTCATCGGTGCCTATGCCTGTGCCTGTGCCTTTCGAACTCGGGTAGATGCAGGCCCGAAAGCTGAACTCTTTCTTGTCTGCTCGGAGGTCACGCCCCATCGTCAAGAGCCTTGAGCCGGCTCACGTAATACGACTTTCCCCCTTGAACCACGACAAGCCGACAATGACGTCAGGCTATTTTTCCTCCTCTCACCTTACGGACACCGGTTTCATCTTTCAGTCTGGACTGATCCGAAGGAGCACGGCATCCCAGGTCCCTGGGAACAATGCTTCGCAGGCCTGTGGCATACGGCACGGTCGGACGCTTCGTGGCCAAGCATCATCAGCGGAAACGCTGACAGGAAGAGCAGCGAACCGATCCGTTGTACAAAGTGTCATTGTTCTTGCTTTCTGGGCCACGGCTGCTGGGTTGAGGAGCCTGAGACAAACTTGTGCCGTGCCTCGTCCCGTGTCCGGCATCGTTGCAAGGAACATCTCTGGAGGATACCCGCACCTTTCCCGCACCTTACGTGAACGCAGGGCACATTTGGCGAGAACCCGTCCAAAGGCAATTGCGTCGAAAGTTTCCGGGACGGGAGGGACAAGGGGTTGAGGCGAACCAAAGCTTTCCTGGGCAGCCACGGCAAACGAGGTTCAAACAACGGGACCCTCCCTCTCTTCTCTACGGAGTATTCCTGTCCAAGCAGCGTGGCAGCTTTCGACGAAGCTTCAATGCCGTGCCGCGTCAAGGTACCTGGCAGACACGGGAGGAAGAGCCAACTGCCGGGAGATGCGTCAGCATCTTCTTTGCCAGTCACAGATTGACACGACCATAAGTCATCGAATCTCGGGCGG